CAACCAGGGAGTCGGGAAGGACCAACACAAGCCAACCCTTTGCAGCTTTCTTTCATACCACGACACCATGTCATATACTGACCACCTCTTCGCTTTTTCCAACCAGTCCCAGAGTCGGCAAAAATGAATGACGTGGAATTCTCTGGGACGACATTCGTAGAACATGACCAAGCCACCGAAGTCCGTGTTTCAAGATGGTGACAACAATTGCATTATCATCTCTGTGCCCAAACACACGATGCCGAACCTCTGCATTACTGACATGGTGTTGCCACTGAATGTCAGCAATCCTTCGGAGACAGCGATGATCGAACACAGAGTCTTCTAACGTCCTCAACTCGCAGAGTCCAAGTTTCACAAACATAGAGCAAGACTGCTCTCACCGACACGTTGAAGATCCGACCTTTTACAGCCAGACTAACATCACGAAGGCGCAAAAGGTGGCCCAGATTGGCATAAGCCGCTCTGGCTTTCACTATACCTGAATTGATCTCATCACTCACGCCATCACCAGCACTTATGCAGCTACCCAGATACACGAACTTCTCGACTACTTCTATCTGCTCACCATCCAGGGTGAGTACAGGATTAGGATCCTGCCAGTCTTGTAGAAGTACTTTGCACTTCGGAGGTTCAAAGCACATACCATACCTACGGACACTGATTGCCAACTGATTAAGTGCGGATTGCATGCCTTGGGCATTATCGCACAGTAAGACAATATCGTCCGCATACTCAAGGTCGAGAAGTCTTTCTCCAGGCAACAGATCCACACCACCATTACTTACATCCATCAGAGCTGTTTCAAGAATGCCATCGATGACAAAGTTGAAGAGAAATGGTGAGATTGGGCAACCCTGTCTAACACCACTGCTCGAATGGAACAATGGAGAAGGGTGGTTGTATGCCCTCACTCTACCTGAGGTGTTTGTATATAGGGCTTTTAAGATGGTAATAAACTTCTCAGGCACACCCTTCTTCAATAGACAATCCCAGAGAACAGTCTTGTCCGACGAATCGAAGGCATTCCTGATGTCGAGAAACACTACGATTGTTGGCCTTTGATAAGTGTGGCGGTGTTCTAACATTTGGCGGAGGGTGAAGATATGATCAATACATCCTTGACCAGAACGAAACTGTTGGGGACGATATATCCCCAAAACTCATATTTGTAATTTTATCATATCGATTAACTTATCGATTAAATGATTAAATAGCAGTCAATTGATGAACTCATTGATTAATGTTTAAAAGTTTCCCATGACAATTTCGATTATATACATTTGCATATATACGTTTTAAATTGTGTTTGTGGGCTCGCTCGTTTTCTGGCTGTCTGAAGAATTTATTTTCCATACCAAGCTTGGACTTCTCCTTCTAGATAGCGGGGCTGGAACGCATCGATAGCTAGATTATTGGTCTTTGGTCACCGAGGCTCGTTCTCGTTCGCAGATTAAGTGAACTCGTGATGCTTCAAACCTAACAGAAATCCAGCCTGCTCCTCGCGAGTCAATCTTTCTCGAGTTTTGAACAACCTACGAAGTATGACGGAAGCCAATAGCTTGGACGCAATCGGAAGTAGACTTATCCCCCGATAGTTGTTACAGGAACGACATGAACCCTTTTTAAAGATAGGGACAACTATCGACTCATTCCATGACGTTGGTACACTCTCTAGCTCCCAGACCTTTGTGAACAAGGTCGTCAGTTCTTTAGCCAGAGTCACCACCGTCTTTAAAAAGAGCCGGAGGTAAGTCATCTGGGCTAGGTGATTTGTAACGCTTCAAGAGTTGGAGTTCCTTGCGGACTTCCACCTCATTCGGTGGATCAGTCGTCACCGGCTATGGAGGGCAGGACAATCTGACCGATGTTGCCGGAGCAGCAGGCCAGTTGAAATGCTCCTCGAAGAACTCTGCCCATCGTCCAAGACGTCGATGGATGTTAGTGATTGGCATCCCGTCATCCTCACAGATTGTTTCACTCACACCAGAATTCTTGCTGCCAGTGGCTCGAATGAGTTGGAAGAGCTCCCGGCAGTTACCAGATGCAGCTGCTGCTTCCAGCTCATTAGCACGCTCCGACCACCAGGCTTCTCGGTCCTTACACAAACTTTGCCCAATTTCACTACGTAACAACCTTCGTTTGTGGTCAAACTCACGGTCAGCCGGAGTAGACCGACGGGCTTCAATGAGTTGTAAGGAACCAGAAGAAACCCAGTGCTTATAAGTGGGACGTTTCGCAAACCCACAACTGACTTTACTCGCCATTTTCATGGCGTCATGCAATTGCGACCAATGCCCATCTATACTTTTTGATGGAATGGTAGCTAGCCTAGAAGCTAGCTCGGTTCGATACTTACTTGCAACAGAAATTGCAACCAACTTCCTGACATCAATCCTTTGATGGCGGTCACTTCGTTGGCCACTGAAAAGAAATGTAAGATTGGCGCAGACAAGGGCATGATCAGAATCCAGATAGGTACTCCAAAAGGAGCGGCAATCTTGTACACAACCACGCTAGTGGTAGCTGATCGCGATGTGAACAATCTGAGTCCAGGCTTGAGATGCAGAGGGAGGACGCCAGGTGGCACATCGGCGATGACTGTATCGGAAGTTAGTGCTAGCCAGAAACAGGTTGTGGTCTGTGCATAGTTGCAGTAGACGGTCCCCGTTATCTGTCCTGCGACCAAAAAGTTCCCATTGGCCACTTAAACGACTCTCATCTGTGCCTAGACGCCCGACCTGAGCATTCAAATCTCCGGCTAGTACTACAATATCTGTCGAACGCACTTTCTGGAGAACAGATAACTGGTGGTGAAACATCCTTGATTGCATCCGGGCTGCAATCTGTAGGGGCATAGGTGGAGATGACGAAAAGACATCGTTTCTCACGCCGATTTCTTCTCACTTCCATGGAACTCTCTAATCTAACAGCACATAACCGACTGTTAATGGGGATCCAATCGACTAGGGCTGCCTCAGCTCGAGCGCTTAGTGCGACACCAACGCCAGCAAGACCAGACGAAGATGCCACAGGGTCCCCGGATAAGCGCACGTAAAACAAGCTTTTGGAAGCGACAGATGGAGAGCGAATTTGTAGAACTTCACCAGAGTCTTGAATACGGGTCTCGGATAGACAACAAACATCAATATTAAGACTTTCTAAAGACATAGCCAGCCCTATCTGTTTTCCGACCTGCATAAATGTGCGAACGTTGAAGGCAGCCAGTTTGAATGGTGCATGTGGTTTCAGAAAAACTGCTTCAGTACTCATATTCGGTGGTAACATACAATTTTCAACCGGACAGTGACTCGAGAACGTTTAGATACAGTCGAATTTCCACCATAGACGAGCTGCTGTATAAGTCGAAAAAATAAGTATAGACAGAGTAGGAATAAAAGAGGGTGAATAATGACGTAGTAAATAATAATAATAATAACAATAATATTAATAATCATAATAATAATTTGAATCATTTGATTGTTAGTCGAGGCAAGAAAAGTAGTTTCCATAAGTATAGACAGTTCATCATTTGTGTGTGGGTTGTGATACTACCCGGGTGACCAGACCGAAACAGGTGGTTATCTTAGGGAGCCACACCCGGAGCCTTTGACCTAAAGGTCTAACTCACAAGGCAATGGAGCATCGTGAGGAGATGCAGCTCCATGGTAGCCGGTGACCAACGATTGGGTCATACGCCATTTGTTCCTTCAGGATACTGGAGCCCATGTGCACTATTGGTTTGGTTTGGAATCCGGTTAAAGCGCCGGACATTCGCTTTTCGTCCTCTCATTTTCGTAAACAACACCCCTGGTGTGAGAAGGCAATGAGTAGGAATTCCCTGGCAGAGGCTGTATACGCGTGGCCGTGTGAGAGTATTCCGAGAGGGAGAGCGAACCCACTCCGCTCTCGGCCATACCAGGGCATTTGGGGGCTTTCGTAATTCTCCAAGTCTCAACCCCATACAGTAGAAATCTCTTGACATTTGTATTGAAAATTCTGACCTTGGAAGTATTTTGCGTAGACAGCTGTTAATAAACACTCGTATCTTCCGGATGTAGTTCTCCAGGTTTCCACCCCGTACAGTAGAACTGCCTTGACATTTGTATTGAAAATTCTGACCTTGGTGTTGGTTGACAGTTGTTTTAAGTTCCAGATGTTATTCAATTGTGAATATGCTGTTCTCGCTTTGCCGATCCGCGCCTTCACATCTGCATCAGAGCCATCGTGTTCATTGATGATGCTGCCCAAATATATAAAGGATTTTACATCCTCCAAAGCTTCTCCGTCAAGTGTGATTGGATTGATGCATGTTGTGTTGTGTAGGAGAATCTTGCTTTTCCCTTTGTGTATATTGAGACCTACTGTTGCTGAGGCTGCTGCTACACTAGTCGTCTTCTCCTGAATTTGTTGTTGCGTGTGCGATAGAAGAGTCAAATCATCTGTGAAGTCTAAATCGTCCAGCTTCATTCTAACTGTCCACTGTATTCCATGCTTCTCTACAGATATTGACGTCTTCATGATCCAGTCGATCACCAAGAGAAAGAGAAAGGGTGATAGTAAGCAATCTTGCCTGACATCGGTCTTTACTTCGAACGAGTTTATGAGCTGTCCTCCATGCATGATTTTGCATCCATCATAGAAATTCCGTAAAATATTGACTATCTTCTCAGGCACGCCGTGGTGTCGAAAAAACCTCCATAGTGTTGTCCAATCTTTACATACACGATCTAGTAGTTCTACTAAGTTACCACCTTAAACAAAAACAGATCGTTGCGATTACGACATGTAATCTAGTGGTTAAGAGATGAAACCTTTCACCACTATTATAAGCCAGGGTGTTTCATGAAACAACTAATAAATGTTCCTAGCATCTATACACTTATTTACTATTGAACATAAATTATTCTTTACAGATTTACTCAAAAGTAAAACGAATGAGTAAATCAGAAATCATATAAGATGGTAGATCATTCATTCATAAGAGAAAAAAAACTTACTCGTGTCAGATAAATGGTACGTTTGTTTACACGAATATTCATTAAATAATAGACAATTCGACTGTTGATATTACCTGAGAGATTATAAGAAGACATTTGGAACAATGGAAGTTGAATGAAAAAAAATCGAAGAGTAATTAATTATTTGTGAACTATTTAGATAGTTTCACTTAATGTACAAAGTATTAATGACATTGCATATGAGTAAGCACAATGATATATATGTATTAGTGAGATCCATAGTTGATAAATAGATAACTAAACGATATATGTCCTGTTTGGTGAAGACGCTGATAAAATGTACAGTCTTCTGGTAGCACTAAGCAACAGTGGCAGAATGTATGGAATGCGCTTCTCTCCCTCTAAATTCGAGTTGTTGCTCCTGGACTGGCCTGCGTCAACACCTGAACTAAGGACAGGTAGTGAAGTAGTCGAACGCGTCGACAACTTCACTTATCTTGGAAGTCTGATCAGCCCTAATGGGTCGGTGTCTGACAGAATCTCAACACGGGTTCGAAGAGCTCGTTTGGCTTTCGCCAACTTACTTCACCTATAGCAAAGGCGAGATACCCATCTATCAATAAAAGAATGAGTATACGGCGCAGCAGTTTGTTCTGTTCTAATTTACGGCTGCGAAGCGTGGCCATTAACGGTAGGAGATACTCGAAAGCTACGAGTATCTGACCACAGATGCCTTAGAAATATTGCTGGCATCTGCTGGGATCACTGGGTAAGTAATAGTGAGATTAGACAACAGGGTATTGGGGAATGATGGTAAATCAGTTGATGAGGTTGTGAATCTTCATCGACTAAAATGGTTGGGTCACTTGTTGCGTAGACCTGAACACCGATTATCACGACGCGCAATGGTGACTAGTGTTGGGGATGGTTGGAAGAAAGTTAGGGGTGGTCAAAACAAAATGTGGCATCAGTTCACGAAATCCTTAACTTCTAGTCTGAGCCATGTCGGTAGATCCAGACTAATTGGTTGGGGTCCGCGTAACTCTCGTACCCAATGGTTGGAGACTCTGGGTGACATGGCTCTGAATCGATCACAACGGCGTAGGTTTATACACTCTCTGTCTTCCCTTAAACTATGTGGTTAAAATAGCTTCATATCTTTCTTCTTGTACTATATCCTGATATGCAATCTTTCTTTTATATATTACCACCATTGAATTAACTACTCCTAGGAATCCGGTGTTCAGCTTGCTGTGTTAATGCGGTGTGGCAACTTGGACCGATGCGTATATATGCCTGTTCCTACGTTATAGCTGACTGACTGATATACATATGAAGGCTAATAACACTATTCGGTTGGCGAAAATCATTGAAACAGTGTTGAAGTGAACCAGTGACTGAGAGTTCCAGCATTGATTTTTGTAACAATTACAAATAGTTATAAGACAGTTATTAATTGAAATTAGTACAAGTAGAAATTCTATTTAGGCCAATAAAAAGTCGAATTCTAAACAAAACAGATTTACGATATTCAGTATATTTATTTAAAGACTTCTCATCTCAGATAATTACTAACCTTTTCGTTAAAATCGTTAAATGATCAATGTCAGATCACTACTGAAAATCTGGAAGTACTGAACAGCTGTTTTCTCTTAGTACGAGACCACTTAGTAGTGCATATCCACAACCCCAAACACAGTGAGAGAACCCAACACCATTCGTCTTATGAGCAAACGTTAGACCTGTAGACCAGTGATCCGGCATTTAACGGTGTTAATGTCTATCTTTAATCAATCCACAATATTGCGCAACGATACTTCATTGTGTTTGGTAGGTAATTGCCTCATACCGAACACGAATGAATTCCACTGGTGACAGCTTCTCACTAGAACTCTGTGCACAAATAAGGAGTCCCATACTAGAACAAAACGGCCGACCAGTGTTTAAAGAGTTCTAGTAATAGCCTAACACTGATCAGTTCATGATTTCAATGAAACTCAATAAACTCCACAACCCTATACTAACTACTAACTTTTTAAACGAAAAAGCTAATTCGATATTACTAGCTAATGTTAATTAAAACTAAGAAGTTTCGTTTGCTTTATGTCATTTAAAGTGAAAGAAGATTGAATGGGTTAATAGATATGAAAGATGATCAGGAAAAAAAAAGTTTATTCATTGATTTTATTGATAAAAGTATAAACTTATAAATATTTTATCGACTACTGATAAAATTCATTAATCAAGATATTATGAAACCGTTCATCATACAAATATTGATCTATAGTTACCAATCAATGAGCAATGATGAATGATGATAGCTAGAAGTTAACAATTGGTTAGGGTATACAAACTATCCTCACAACTAATTTTTTTTTGATAACATACGTGAATAACGTTTTTTAGCAGTTTTGGAGCGGTGACTAAGTGGTCAAGCCAATCTACTTTCAACTACTAGGTTGTAGTTTTGAGTTGTATTCTACCTAATTGAGTTTGGAGAGCCCAACAGTACTCCTAACACACAAATACATAAAGAATAGTGGAAAGCAAAGTATGCGAATCTGTACTTAATAAATGAGTTACATCTATCTATTTCTCAAAAATTCCTATGAAGATTGAAACTATTTAGTTAATTCGTTTTTTCTTGTAACGACAACTATGAGTGCAGTCTTTCTAATTGGCATTTTCGCATGAATATTGATTGTTTGTGATCACATCCAATTTGTTAATTCTATCTCAAAATCAAGCTGAGATATTATATATACAAAAGGATATGTTTCACTTTGATTTTGTCGTTCTCATTATTAAATACCATGCTTATTTTCTGCACTGCTAACTTTTTTAGGTTCTATCATTGAGCCTGGAGCCTTCGATCCAAACGTCTGATCCACAAGGCAGTGAAGCAACGTAAGGAGATGCAGTTCCATGGTTGCTAGTGACCAACAATAGGTTCATACACCATTTGTTCCATCAGGATCCTGGAGACCATGAGCACCATTGGTGTGGAATCAGGGTTTTCCAACTCCTCTAAGTATACCCTTCATATCCACCAACCCGGTTAATGCACCGAACATTTGCTTTTCGTCCTCTCAATTGGGTAAACAACAACCCCGTCGCGAAAACACAGTGAGTAGGACTCCCCTATCAGTGGTTGTAGACACGTGGCCATATGAGAGCATTTCGAGAGGAAGAGTTGACTCTCACCACTCTCAGCCGTACCAGGGCATTTAGATGATACATTAAATAAGGAGCGTACAGCTACAGAAAGTCTAAATGCATACAGGAAAATCCATTATGAATTTAAAATAAAAATGGTTACTAGTAAGGAAAAACAAAACTGAAATGATCCACACAAACTGATTAATGTATAAACAACATACTGGAAGTAACAAACAAAATGAGGAGATAAGTAAAGAATAATGAAAATCACCAACAAAAAAAGCGAAGAGCTTTAATATTCAAGATGTCTACATTCCTTTTTATTGTGTTTAAACATCAAGCTATATCAAGAAAAAACAATTAGATTTAACCAAATGAATTTCAATTCTATACAAATAAAAGTAACATAATCGCCAAAGTTTAATAAGTCGTAGAGTTGTATTTATAAGTACACCATTGAGAAGTCTTGAAATATCACTTAAATTCCAATAGTCATCTCAATGGATTTTATCCCATGACAATAGTTATCTCAAGATGATGAAGTAATAATAAATTAAGATACACAATCATAGAGAATAGGTTATAATATATTTATATAATAGAACTTCGTACGTACGTACATCAGTTCGAGTTGCCATACCACATTAGCATAGAGATGCAGTTGTCGATTCAAATCCCGTAGTGGTAGAGATAGTAAGAATATAAGCAATAATCGGAAAGATTAGGGTTTAGAAATGCCTTAAAAAGATTGTATTAGTCAGTAAATCAGTTATGACTAGTATAGAAGCTGATACAATTGTAGTTTAGAGTTCAAGCTACCATACTGGACCGAAATAGTATGATAAAAATCAATAAGACGAACAACAAACAAATAATAATAGTATCAATTATAATGAGAATATAACTCGAGAAGGAATGGAAAGAAAGTGAAAAAGGTGACTAAAACTTAAAATCTATGAAGAGGTAAAGAGTAAATCCACTTAAGCTCCTGCTATTCATTCTTAGCCATGTCACCTATACCATTACTATTACTATCATTGTTATTATTATCAAGTAAGTATTCCATCTTTATCAGTTTTGATTTGTTTTAACTAAATGTAACTAAACTAGGTTAGACATAGTTCTAGGAATGACCATAAGTTTACAAGAACAAACATAGACATACTCTTTGAATGGGAGACAATGAAATCTTTTTTTCTACATGCATATATACAGAACACATAGTGAGTACACTTTTGTAAATTCAACTCTGAAATGTCCTTTTTCTGACTAAATCAACAACATGAATTGCAAAGTACGATGAATTCATTACATTTTATTGGTCGAAAAAAATACATGTTAATAAAGCCTTAAAAGACAGATGGATTAAATATAATCTTTGCATTAAAAGAGTCAGTGGTTATTTATTTATTTGAACACATAAAAATCTGTAAAAAGGGACACCGAATACATATGCGCCACACAAGTCACTTGATTTGTGTGTGGGCTGTGATACTGCCTGGGTGCTCAAACCGAAGCAGATTTTCTCGGAGGGCCACTCCTCGAGCCTTTTGTCTAGGGGTCTAAGCCATAACACAGTGGAGCAACGTAAGGAGATGCAGTCGCATGGCAGCCGGTGACCAACGATAGATTCACACGCCATTTGTTTCATTAGGATCCTGGAAACCATGTGCATCAGTGGTTTAGAACTAGGGTTTTCCAACTCCCCTAGGTCAACCCTCCGTATCCACCAACCTGGTTAATAAACCGGACATTCGCTTTTCATCCTCTCGATTTCGTAAACAGCACCACGAGAAGGCAGTGAATAGGAATCCCCTGGTAGTAGCTGTATACGCTTGGTCATGCGAGAGCATTTCGAAAGGGAGAGCTAACTCTCCCTACCCTCGACCGTGCCAGGGCATTTGTTAGCTTACATCTGCCTTGATAACCGAAGAAATTCGATCTCTCAAATTTGTGATTCACTTAATTATAATGACAATCTGATGAGTTCAGCTTACACATCTTTTCTTTCTAGACTTTTTAGAACTTAATTATGTTACATGAGAAGTTTTTCTGGGTGGCGCTTTTCTAGCAAATTTCATTTCTGAGGAAAGCAAGGGCAGTATTACAACAATTGAGGGACGTCTGCAAATCTAAACAACTGTCGGACATCATAGTCAAGACAGTTCTATTGTACGGAGCTGAAACGTGGAGAATAACTACATCATCAAAAATGTACAAGTATTCATAAACAATTGTCTACTCATGAAACTCAATGTCTATTGGTCGGATACCATCGGCAGCAACCCTACTGTGGCAGAGAACAAACCAACTTTCAGATGAATAAGAAGTTAGCAAAAGACGCTGGAGGCGGTAGTTCAAATATTGCGGAAATCACCAAATTGCATCAAAAGGCAAACCCTAAATTGAGATGCTGAAGGTGAAAGGAAAAGAGGCAGACCAAAGAACACATAGCGACGGGACTTGGGAGTAAACATCAAAAGAATGAACAGCACTTAGAAACAACTAAAAAGCAGAGCCCAAGACAGAGTTGGTTGGAGAACCCTGGTGGACGGCCCATGTTCCAGAAGAAATAACAGGAGTAATTATTTGTTGTAGTAATATGATTATATATATATCAACTATTCAGTCTGCATTTTTGAGGAAACTAACGCTCCCCCATAATATTCGCGCCAATTTTTTAACTATTAGAAACTGCAATTAAGCTATTTAGGCTGTGACCAACCTACTGTACGACAGTTTAAGAAGAAATGTTCACCAACCAACTAGCTACCTAAAGAGCTCGATAATTTATTCAGCAAAACAAAACAGAAAGAACTTACCTTCAATGCGATTGGCTAGATATCGTTTGCCTTGATCAAATATTTTAATATACGACCAATCCTTATCCAAATCATCATCAATTGATTCGTACCGTTTTTCATAATGTTCAATACGTTTAAGAAAATCTTTTAACGCTTCTTCTTTATCGATACTTTTGTAATCAGGACTGTTGACTTTTACTTCCTTGAAAACAAATGGAGAAAAGTATAATGGGAAACCATACAACTGGTATAAACGAAAAAAGTGAGGATTTCGATGTGGTGGTATTAAGGAAGGAAGTATCCTCTAGCTCAGCTTACGGAGTGCGACTCACCTGACATTATTTTCATTGAGCTGAACAGCTCTAACTATAGTTTTTAATATTCCCCTAAAACATTAACAATATTAGTGCATACTGAAAAGTAAATGTCAGTCAGTCAGCTATAAACAGCGTAGAACCTGATATATATGTACATCGCTCCAAGTTACCATACCTCATTAACACAGTGAGATGAAATTGTCACGGTAAATTGCAGACTACTTCAAGAAGCAACAGTATTAGTGCTTATAGAAAAGATTAGAAATCGGTTAAACGACTCGGGAAAATATAAATTAATGAATCTTAAAGAATTATAAGGAATTTAAGAACTTATGATTTAAGGTATGTGTTATGTCCCAACAAGAATAATGAATGGTAATTTTGGGATCCATTTATAGATCAATACTAAACGTATATTTCTATTGTATAATTATTAAGTAACTAAACTATGCATATTCATATTCCTCTTATTATAAGCTTTATTTGGACCCATAAACTATTATTAAACATTTTACCATTCTTAAGTTATACCCAATATATTAATTACTACCTCCCTCATTCACAGCCACATCTGGTTAATTCTTGTACAAAAGTTGTTCCATATTTTATGCTACGTTGCGGTCTGTTTGACTGGTATATGAACTCAGTATGTTTGAAATATAATGATTCATATCGCAGAGGCTGAAACTGGTGTTGAGGACTTAACTGGCTGGGTTAGGCGGAAAGCAGGATCAATCAGGACTCTAGGCTGCTCGCACGTGTTTTACGCGTCCTTGGTCCGATCGATAACCCGCTGCCTCTGATTGGCGACTTTGGGCCATAACAGGGGAGCAGATGAAATCTAACCGAATTTCTACGAAATGGCAGGATCGGATTTACAGATGCTATTTTCCCAAAATGTGTACACTATATTTAGTAGCTGACACATACATTCAAGCATGGAAGGTAAAATGTGTTAACCCTCAACAAAATTCAGGGCCAAGAACTTAGTCCTGAACTACAGGCAGACTAATGTCACCACAGTCGTCTTACAGATATTGAAGAAATTGAAAAAAGGCTGTTATCCGGACATATACTAAGAGAAGGTCTAGTTGACGTCTTGCAACATGGCTTCAGAAGAAAAAGGCTGTAAACTTGATATTTGTAAGATTTTCTAAGGTTTTCCACATCCGTGTCTAGAAGCAATCGGCAATGATGCTGTACATTGATATCAGTAAAGATTTGTGTATTAATGACAAAAGACCTACGGCATATGTTATTCCTTTTTTAGCATGCTTCTGTGAGTGTTTTGCGCGCCCTTGGTCCGACCGACACTTCACTGCTCTCTGATCGGCGGTCACAAGTTATAACAGTAAGATAAAGAGTGAAGGCACCTGCGTCGTTAAGCTGTTATCCAAAGTTCCTAACCATTTGTTACGATAATCACACGGACCTCAAATAGATAGTTTCCTGTTACCTACATAGCTCAGTCCAATAGTCGGTGTCTTCACAGACTGATGCTGTAAATTCGTTCGGCAGCCCCTAGCTTTCTTCCAAATTACTACTACATTAGCCATAATCGCTCGTTGAGGTGGTCAGTGGATTTATACACGTAATATATGCCTGTAACGCAGCTGAAACGTTACACTATGGACTTCTAGTTTTGATTATCAGATTGTCTTAATCTCACGCTTGTTATTTCTAAATGTCAAAGTCACAGAAAATCGCACTCCATAACAGTGGCCGAGTGATCTCAGTCGATGAAGATTTGTAACCTCGTCAACCGACCTACTGTTTTACTTAATATTGTATGTTTAACCTCAAAACTGTTAAGTCGGCGGTCCCAAAATGCAATAATAATGGTTTGAAGACACTTATGATCGAACAATGATAACCCAATAACATGTACTATTTTTGAAGGCCACGTTTCACAGTCATAGAGTAGAGTGGAGCGAGCTTCTAGACAGTATACTTGTCCTTTAGAGTTGGTACACGAATATCTTGCCTACGCCACAAGTGACCGAATTGGGGAAAAGCCAATTGAGCTTTCTAAATCCGCACCGACATTTTATCAAACAACGACCAACTGGTGCTGGTGAGAGTCCAAAGGTGAGCAAAGTGTTTCACACACTACACTCCCTATCATTAGTTCAGGTCCCGATGCAGATCAGCCCTGAAGTAACATTTTGCACTAATAAGGTTATATCGACGTTTTAAAGCAGCGTTAACAGAGTGTTTAATGATTTCAAAAGAATATAAATTTGAATATTGTATCTGATGACTACTACGGAAGGCAGAAATAAATGATTTCAGACTCCAAGTTACAATGAATAATGTGGTTGCAAATTATCTTTAAAATATTCTCTTCGTTTATTTAGTCACATTTCTTTGCAATCATTATATCCTTTTAGTGTTGTTGATTTTATCCTTTTGTATTAAATAGAAATGTGCTAACTAGAAATAAACTTTGCAACATGCCTTGGTCTCGAGACTACCTACCGATCTATTTGTGCCTGTTCGGCTGTATAAATAAGTCGTCATGAGTGAGGAAAACACATGCCAACAAAATTCTTTTACACGCAACTAAAATCTATCATTCAATCAATCATACACGAACTTTAATGTAGAACCTTGTACAGAAATGTATTACTACAAGTTGTCACAGTTTGCATCTGCACAAAAAAGCGATTCAGTAAAGACAAACTGATATTTAAACCAATAAAAGCAATGAAAACTTTCAGTCAAATCTCAACTACTATGTCATAGATTTAAATCTCTGTCAACTAATTTCAATTTGGCAAACTAAGAAGTATCGTAAACCTTCGTCATACAAATCTGTGATTTAAGGTCAAGTATATATTTCTTTGTCCATGTTAAGATGAGGATTACAAAACAATCAGAATAAAATCTAGCAATCTAAGTGAAAACAACTAACAACAGAAATAGAATCTTAGTGTTCATAACAGTTGGCTGTCAACCAATAGATTACAGATTTGAACACAACTCTATCTATTTGATTTTGCCATCCCGATGGTGATAAGTGGGGCAGTAATGTTAATAAATTACAATGTCTTGCCTTAGAAATCTGACAAGATAAAAAAACATTTAAAAAAAAACATGATCGTACCAAAACATTCTCCTGAATTAAATTTTTATCTTTACAAATCGACTCGACAAATATAACTTGAAAATTATGCGTTTTACACCGTTCCATTATCCATAACCGACGCTCTCGTGTTGTATTTGTCGCATCAAAGACGGCAATCCTGCCAACATCTGATGTTAACCAGGAGATTAAGTCATCCAATGCTTCCGATGCAATTTTTCTATGAGATTAAGAGAAAAACAACAATAACAGGTTTACTGATGGCTAAACTGAGGTATTCAAAGATTTCCACTATATACAGTTTTTAAAAATTTCCAACCCTGCAGACGTTTGCTTTATTCAACACTATCTGACAACTGACATAGTCCTTGCACCACTCATAGAAAATGAGTGTATATTTACAAATCACTCATCTTTTAATGTGATATACGTTATAGCGTAAATCAGATATTAAAAACATTACATTTAATATGGTTTAAACTGAAAATCTTCAATAAAATGAAGAAAACAAACATTTAAAAGTCGGGCAACTGAAAACTACAAGTTATATGGTGTCAACATAACAAAATTTGTGCATTAAATATGTTTACACATTATTCAATCAATTGAAGCTCAACGGTGCTATATACCAACCTGAATATCAGTTGGGAGTACCTCAGGATTGTTGACTGAACTGATTATTTAAAAATCGAATGTCAAAATAGTCATACTCAAAGGTCTGAATCCTACTTCAATTAATCCGGACTTATTAGTCTAGAATTTGACTTTCAAAGTTATCAGTTCTTGAATAAGAACATGACACTATATTCGTGAAATAATATACAAGTGGATTAGTATAAACAGAATCGCACAGAATGGAATTAAGAATACATTCAAAGAATTCTATCACAGTTCGAACGATTGAAAAGGTAATAATATTGTCTGTTACTAATTTAAGGTGGTTGTTTAACAAATTATACTATGAAGTTTCCTTACACAAAGTGTATTATGAATTCCAACAAACGACAGGCCGTCAGATAATTAGCAGGAATAAATTGTTTCAAAAAATGTGTGTTCATTATGACTACAGTTTTGGGTGATGTGACTTGAAACTTCCGAGGTTCTACTACGAGAAACTGAGGCTAAGAGTGAAATGAGACAGCTAAACTTGGCACTGGAATTAACTCCACCATGTGAAGTTCTATTAGCTATGCATCGTGATGAGCAAAGCACAACAAAACAACACTTCAAAATGTTTGTTGTCAGTTCCCATAAAATTTCACGGGGAAAAACAAATAAGTAAGTAAACTTAGTAAAACGATAAGCCAAAAACCCTGTATATTTTAGGTTTGAAACAAAGATCTGAACTAAACATGCAAGAAATACGTGATATAGCTACCAGATGGTTTATCAAGGATGGTTTGTCAATCTCAGATTGATTGAGAGTAAAACACTCAACAACTTAAGTCATCGACTTCTAGAGTCGATTATTAAACCGTCCTTGCTTCACACTTATGCTATTATTTATTGTTATCGATTGCTTTTATCACTAAATGTAAGTAGATTATATGTGCTCAAAGTTGCCGGCTCACTTCTTTAGTTTTATTTTCCTTTCGGATACCCTGAAACACTGCCCCTTAAACTCTTCCAGTACACAAGTCACCTTTGAGCGAAATGTGAACCTACCAAAGACTAAACGTTATACGAGAACAGAATATTAAATTTTTCGTTCCGCGTTTATAAAACAAGGACAAGTAATTATTGGGAGAAATAAGGTTCGAAAACGATAAACCATACTGTCTGAGTGCAACGCCTTCATTATTTTCGTCGGAAAAGTAACTATGGTCATTGTAATCTTTCATTTGAAGTCGACGATAAGCTCCAACATTGAAAACTAAAAAAAACACATAACAACGGTGACCCATCATACCTCGTGTATTAATTCCAACCCAATTTAGGTACCTTGAAAGCTTGGTAGATATATATGACTTCCCACGAGCAGGAAGACCAACTAACACAACAACCGTTTTCTCATCGTCGGAACAAGAATCTGCAAAAATCAATAATATCGAAACTTAGACTTACCCCAGCTAGCAAGCGGTGCTATGTCTAGGGATACACGACGATCAGAATACATGTTAATAGGATGAAAACTGAGAACTGGTAGGATATGACAAAGGACTCGCAACACACTGACTGTAAATTGACCAGTTTGACCTAGAAGTCAAATTGCCACATACTTTTGAAAAGTGGGTAACTGTAAAATTGGTGTGAAGTAACTTCATTTTTCTGTTTGTATACCAAAAAAGAACCACTTCGTACAACTACTACTTGGACCAGTTTTATTAAATTTTATTTTTGTTTGTAACCTGAAGTCAGAGGTATTCAACACTACTTAACACGGGAGCTCACCAAGAAAATCTTGTGTTCCTCCCACAATTATTTGAACGTTTTAGGTTTTACCTACATCGTTTTGTTGCTTTTGGAGCTTGATAGATTTTTATCAGTGGTTTTATCATGGTCGAAATCTGAAACGATAGTTTTGTGTATCGACTCTGTCATATCACACAGGTTGGAGTTTTAAGGTAAACCATGTATTTGCGGTGCTTGTACTCACTGAAGGTTCCCTTGTATTTTCTCGGCGGCTGATTCGAAGTTCAAATGGAATACGTCTATTAGTAGTCGTCTAGTCCTATCTGCATTGAACTGAACTATTCTTGGAATCCTTAGTTAGCAAACCAGTTTTATCATGTATATGATTGATTCGTCCATAGCTTATAGTCTCGCCGTAACTATAGTGTGATCATGAATCAAGTCGACACTAGCGATGTTTGAAATTGATAAAAGTGACTTTGTACAACTAGCAATTGAATATAAACTGATGCTTATTTTCAATCATAAGAAATACGTACTCCTGATTCCCGTTATGTGTTTGAGTAATTATTGTGATTCAGTGGGTTTTCAACAAAGTTTGGTGTAGCTGGACAGTACTCTTGCACTCTTACTCCTTACACCCAGTCCGAAAATAAGTTTCTTATTTTTTTAAACAAAAGGTTGGTAATTAAAGTACAATTATTCACAGCTAATCTCGTGACGGAAACCCTAACGTTAATTGACGAAGCAAACTCCTAATTTCTAGCCCTGCTTATTTTGCATTTTAGACGATATCATTTACTGACTAAAACCCAATGGGGTTACCACAACAGGATACGCCTTGGCACGCCATTAATCCAGCGTAGCACAATCTATCTTCTAACATGTCATGTTGACTTTAAAAACATCCAAGTAATGCAACTCTGAAGGCCAAATTTTGAACCACATTTAAAAAATTTTGATGACTTGTTTGACCACTGAACAGACAGGTGAATGTTTGATAACACATTTTGTTTGGATGACAAGTTGTGATATGTTTTGGTATTTGTACTGACTTATGATTTCCTTGTACTTAATTGCGCGTTTGCTACAAAATGCACGTAGAATACGTTCATTTATGCTCATCTAGTTCCACCTGTCTTAAATTGCACTATTTCGCGAATTCTTACTTGACACATGGATTTGAATACTTCTACTTATTATATTAGCGTTACGACGGAACCTGTGATTGAGCGGTTGGATATACATTCCAATTCTAAAGTTTTCGAGGATTACATAAAAAAGTTCGAAATCAAGATCAGGAAAGGTTTTAAATATGACAAAATTGTAGCCTGTTTTCTTACATTCATCAGAAATGATGCTTAACGCTCATTAAAAATCTCGGCATTTCCAGATAAGTATATTTGACTTCCCTATGCAACTCTAAAAGAACTATCACCAAATCATGTAGTGTACTAATTTCGAATGCCTTGAAAGAGAAAATTTCACAAAATTATTCGTCAGGACAACCAGAAGGTTAGAGAATTTATCCTCAAATCGCAGAAAGAAAACGTGCATATGCGCGATCGATTAATTACAGGAACTAGCATACCAAATCTGAAAAAAGAGTTTATGCAAATTCCGAAGTGTTCCAAGATGCTGGAACTGAGTGTGTAAATTGCGGCGGAGTGCATGTGATTGACTTCTAGGACATTGGGACCTATACTAAATTTCTTAGTTATCCTAATATGATGTGTACTCCAAATCACGTTAATAGGCAATCAATTCATGATAATACTCGTTCTCATGGAAACATGTATTACAACCTATTGAAGATTTGCACAGCAGGTTACACAGATGAGCATAGGTTTAGTTAGTGTCTGCCGTGCGACAAAATTTATCCACGTAAATTATGTGAGTTTCATCATGCTGTATGCTTTGGGTGTGATAAAATGGAATGCATCACGTCGGTGTATAGAGCAACCGTTCATTTTGCCACTAGTAGTACCAAAACTTTTAGCTCGGATTCTACTAATTTGGGTTATTCTAATAACAATACGCCGTCCTTATTTACGAACTCTAGTTTGATGGTGCTTTCATGTTTTGTTGTGGAGGTTAGTTGCATAAAATCCATCATTTTAGTTGGAAGGTTTAGGTCATTGAACCCTCATGCCATAATTGAAACTGTCGGGTATTTTCGGTCATAAACTTACGGTTATTAAATATTATAATTTACTGATAAGGGATGATAAACCCTCTATCATAACTTGTGAGTTCCTCATCACTTACCGTGTACTGGCGTTACTGGGTCTGTAAAATTTAACAGCACTTCAATAGCAGCTTTCCTCCTCCACCACTAAGGACTGTTCTAATGAAATGTTTGGTCACTTGTCAACAACATAATTGAAGCGCGACACTCTCTTAATGTGATGCTCAGGCGAGAAATGTCAGGTACTTGGAAACGGTATTCAATTCTGTCACAGCCGCGAAATTTAAAGATCTAGGGAGGAGAGTGCAGGATTGCCAGACATTACTCATAAAAATATAAATGATGAAATTGCTCAAACAGAAAATCTCCATCTGTATATAAGATTCTCGCAGTCTGCTGATGTTTTATGCTATTGAGGAATTGAATATCCACAATCTGCTTAAACTTTATGATAAACCTGTGGTTCATATGCAAGCCAGTCACAGCATAAATGCATTACGAGAACCTGAGTGAGTTCGTCATACATTCTACTGTTAATTAAGATACTAATAAGTACATTCTGAATTGTAAGGAGTCTATATCCAATGCACATCCAGACAGACTACTAATAAACCTAAGTAGAAGACACAATAGAACATAAAGATTGAGAATCCTATAGAATTATGGTCTACTATCATGTTAGTACTGCTCTAGTAATAGACCTAATTCTAAAATTGTAGGTTTGTCATGATATAACTGCCTTATCTATAAGATCTTACGTAGAAGTCACATCATCGTCTACACCAACTCACCACATCGTAACAATTACCAATGCATGATAAAGAGCAAGCTTAGGCTAGAGGTAGAACAATGTATTTAATATGAATAAAAGATATAAGGTAACATTCAGCAGAGACCACGCCTGCGAGACCGAGCCATGCCATCCAATCAACTCGAATTAATCCAACTCTTTCTTCCTGCCTTTTCCATCGTTGGGTTTTTCTCCGTGTCAAATGTTGAATATCCATTTTCTCGGTTGTCTCGTGTTCAGCTTTGAGGATTGTGTGTTTAGGGCCCAATATCACTACACTCCCATTCAACCAGTAACGCTCGTGGCATTTGTAATAAGTGATGATTCTGTAGAACTATGGTCTAGTTCGTCATTTATTCCATCCTAATAATAGGTCCAATTTTACAATCATAAATTTGTCATGACGTGACCACCTAATCTAAGTCACGCCAATGTCTATTCTAACCCGTCGTACCGCAAAAATCGGCGATATAATGTTCAACGTTTCTAAAGGACACATTCAAGCTGGAGAGAGAACAATATATTTAGTTTGAATAAAAGAGATAATCCACACAAAAATGACCACGCTTGCAGGATCGAACCATGCCACCCAGTCGAATGTTCCCACTTTCACCAATGTTGACTTTCTCTTAGCGTTCAAAGTTGAGTATGCATCTTTTGAGTAATTATATGCTCGGTCTCAAAGATTGTGTAGTCAGGAACCAATACCAATACAATTCCCTTTTACTTGATTGCGCGCTTGTTACGAACTCTAGATATGATACATCCACTTGTGATCATCCAGTTCCATCTACACTAAGTCACATTATCCCGAAAATTCTTAGTTAGCACATCAATTCGTCTACTTCTAAATATCATACCTTTACGTGTTTATGGGAGCACTTACCTAGTTCAAATTACTTCTAGGATTGACCCCACATGTCCTAATAACTTAAATGCATTTCTATCCGCTTTGAATGATTAAATTAACTAACAAATGACGCTATTCGAAGGTTTCAACTAGAAACTATTATCGAAGATAGAAAGTGATAATCCTGTGGAGATGGGCCTGACAAGCTTATTTTGTAAATAGTTTTTATTATTATTTGTATTTATTTTGTCAATCTTTCACTGTCTGTATATTTTATCATTAAATGATTATACCTGTTGTTTTAGTAAATGGCCTTGAACACACTTTCCGTTGTGATACTGACATAGCATGACACACTCATGGTTGTTCGCAAATACACCACTACACACACACTCCTTGTTCTATTCTCACGCGTTATCGAGCCAATTGCATTCTAACTCGAATATTATCCACATTTTAGACTGTCGTGCCATCTCTATTACATCCTACGTCAAGGAAACTTACTGAAGTCACATTTACCTCATCGGAGTTATTACTCATTTATAATTGTGGATTTTGGTACCGAAACCTCAACGGAATGCACGACAACTAGCTGATTTAAGTAACGTCCCTGAACTTTCATTTTGTGTTACTAATTTATAAATTGTTATTGTTACATTAACTTTTGGACGTAATAACTTTATTGCTAATTTTTGGTTATTATACTTTTTGGTCCACCACAATCCCAAATGGAAGAGGTGATAAGCTGTCTTCCTCATCAAAAGAACACTGTCTGTTCCATGCTCCTTAGAGTTATATAAGACCTTAATGCAAGCTCAGTTTTTGCAATTGCCTTTGTTCTGAATGACAAGTCCTAAAAAGCAGGAAATAATAAAAGCCTTGTATTTATATAACCTGCTCGATCGGCTTGTTCATTCCACTGTTGTCACCTCACGGATGTTGGGACTTTAACCAACTCTAGTCAAATTCATTTCCGTAACTAAATGAGATGAAAGTAAAAATGAAAATCATATAAGAGAATTAACAATGAGTACTTAGGTTTGATAGTGA